CTTCCTCCTGAAGCAAAAATTGATTTTTGAGGACATTTTGAGAAAAGGGATTTTTATTTGTTCTTTAAGGATTTGGACAGTTGGTACAACATTAATGGATGGTCTTTAAGGTGTCAAAGAGTTTAGAACTGGTCTAGGCAGTGTGTTTTATCACTTTGTGCAAAAAAGTCAAACTAAAGGGTGTGAGAAGTTGACTTTTGGTTTTGTGGTGTTTTTGACTGGTTTAATGGTTGCAACACCTTCTAAACATGATTTATGGGTTGTGTGGATGATTTTCAGGGTGGTTGGATGGTTGAAAAGGCTGCTGGTATGCAGTTTGCACCAGACAGTTTTTTTGTGGTTTTTTGATGAGAAGTTCACTTTCAAGAAAAGAGGAAAGAGTGAGAGCTATGATTTTCTAGTTTTTAGAGAGCTCTGGTGTATTGTATACAATGGGAGGAAGCCTCTATTTATAGGCCATGAGAAGCATTGGGGCAGATTTGAAGTTTTGGCCTTTGGAGGGAGATTTTAGAAGAAAATTTATCCAAGATTGTATGGCAGTTGAGCATATCAGTTCCTTGGCTCAATGCAGGTCAAAAACTCAAGTGAAATGAAGGACATGAGGTGATTTAAGTGAGCATAGAGTGTAGGGCACTGCAGCTGCAAGACTTTCCTCATAAAGTTTCTCTTTCCTCTTTGTTTTCCTTGAATATTATATTGTCAACTTGCTTGCCAACATGCAAAGCCTTCAAACTCTCATTCTTTCTGCATTTTCTAACCATCAACCTATCTAAATATCATATTAAGAGATGATCCAATGGTTGAGAATGATTCAAGTGGCTGAAAAGTGAATTTGTGGAAAAGTTGAAATGGTGCATTCAAGTGTTGAAACCCCAACTTTCTGGATTCGTAACTCTCAACTCACAAGGGCTATGGAGGAGTTCTAGTACTTTTTGGAAAGACCTCGTGGAGCTCTACAACTTTCATGTATACATAATCTTCAGGTTCCAAGTGGAACTAGGTCAAAAATCCCTCCAAAGTTGGCTGAAAACATGATTTGAAAGGCCAGAAACTTAGAAATTTTCCAAGTGTTTTCTCCCTCTTGTAATTATTTTGATCATAACTCTCAATCTACTCATTTTTCGCACATGGATCCATGTGAGACTTTTTGTAGGATTTGTCAAGACCTTTCCAACAAGCTTTGAACCGCCTCAATTGGATGTGTGGTTAGGAGATTATGGTCTTGCCCCTTTCAAAACCCTAATTCCCGAATTTTCTGGATTACTCCTCAACCCTTGATCCAATGGTCATGAAACTTCATGGATAAGTTCAATATGCTATTAGGAAAATTTTTTATTCACACTTTGAGGTCAAATTCCTTATGGTCAAGGAGTTGACCTTTTGGTCAACGAAACGATCGATCGATGACTACCGAGTCGATTGTTGACGTTCTGGGTCTTCTGAGGCCTTGAAACTTCTTGAGTGGACTTCACTAAGCCATATGAGCTTCATGGACCATAATTCCATCATTGGAACACCTTTTAAATCAAAACTCAGACTACAGTTGACTTTTCCTGATTAGAAACCCTAATCGGGAATCCTGAATTGCACTGTCTTTAATCTTTGGGTGACAACCTCAAATTGGATTCATACTTGACCGAACAGAGTATCTTTGATGATGTGGAGCTTTTTTTCTTGGAGAATCAATCCAACATATTGACTGATTAAATCGTCGAAACCTCAATTTTTATTGTACGGAACCCTAATTCACCCTTTTTGCATAGGCAATGTGCAGATGAATTGAGTGACCATTCCCACTCCATAATGACCTCTGAGGTACTCAACAAGCCTCTACCAATGATAAATCTTCATGGACCCCTTGACAATCCTCTGATGGTTCCTTGATACTGTTGTGGCACACCTCTCCTTTCTAGGAGCTAAGATATCTTCATGGTGATGACACACACATAACAACCTCTACCAATGCCTCTGCTTGAGCTTGTGGTCAATAAGGCTCTCTTCTTGGATAGGACATATACAAACACTTGATCCCCTGTAGGAACTATGCTATGCAAATGCAAGATGCTAAAATGCAATGAAACATAAGCCAAAGATTAAGAAAAGAGGTTGGTCAAATTTTGGGGTACAACAGTGTCGTCGACAAACTTGACTTTACTCTTTGCCGCTTGATTGATTTCCACAAACCAATCCTTCCGACCCGTCATATGTGTTGAATAACCGGAATCCAAGTACCATTCATCTTTACTTTGAATTCTGTCATGCACGGTAACTAATGCATTTCGATCCGAATGCATTTTCTCACCACTTTCCGAAATAGTACAGTTGTTGTCCCGCAACCTATGACCACAGTAGCTGTTGTTTTGAACATCAACAGTGCCATAATTCTCCTCTGTGATCATCACTAGAAGGGTGTCTTCATCATCTCCCTCTTCTCTAGCAACCTTGGCTTCATCATTTCGAGTTTTATTCAATCTAACATGACACATAGATTGAAAATGTCCAAGCTTTTTACACTTGAAACATTGCACTTTACTCAAATCCCTTTTGATACCATTGCTATGATCACTCTCCTTGGAGCTGCTCTCACCCTTTTCACCCGTCGAATTCTTCGAATTTTGAGACTCGTTTACACCAAACTTCTGAAAATTTGGCTTACCTCTAGCTGCAGATTTTCCTTTCGACCTCTTATTCTTCTCATTAAAACGCGCTTGCAAAGCCATCTCCGCTTTGGCTTTGTCGGCACCTCTTTCATCCATCATTTGTTCATGTGCCTCTAACGAACTTTGCAACTCATCCTTGCTCAAACTAGTTAGATCCTTTGACTCTTCAATAGCCACAACTATAGTATCGAACTGTGATGTTAACGAACGCAATACTTTCGATACAACATTCTGCTCAAGAATCGTTTCGCCACATGACTTGATTTGATTGACTAACTGGGTAATGCGCGTAATGTAATCGTTGATCGTTTCTTTGTCCTCCATTTGCGTTAACTTGAATTGACGTTTGTAAGTTTGTTAACTTACCACCTTCGCTTTGACGGCACCGGCATATGCTTTCTCCAATATTTCCCATGCTTGCTTCGCGGATTCACAATTTCCAACCTTCTCGAAATTGTCGTTATCAACACAAGAGTGAATCAAGAATAGGGCTTTGTAATCCTTCTTCTTTTCTTCCTTGTGTGTAGCCCTAATAGCTTCGGTAACATCTGCCCCTAACGGTATAACTCCATTGATGACGATCTCAAGAACCTCTTGATAACCAAACAAAACCTTCATTTGTTTCGCCCATTTGTCGTAGTTCTTCGAATCAAGAATTGGGAGATTGGTGGAAATTCGATCATTAGAAACGGTAGCCATTGGTGCACCGGATTAGGATTAATATCCGGAGCTCTTGATGCCAAATGTTAGAACAACATACAAAAAATAGAGATTGAAGGTAGTAACAATGGTGGAAAAGAAATTGGAGAAGCAGATGAAATTGAGAGAGAAAGATAATTAGGATAGAGAGTATTATTAGATGAATTAAAATTGACATTAATTGGAATTGAAAATTATAAAATATATTTATACACTTAACAAAAACCAACTAAAGTGGTCATGCTGTTAAATTCAGGTATTTGCTGAAATTTGATCAGTGGTAATCGATTAGCAACAAATACAAATACGTAATTGATTACACCTGTTAAATTTTTAAAAAAATCAGAATTTAACCGCTTTCAACACAAATCATAACCAAAACATTATTTTTCATTCATAAATTCGAATGGATCTAGCTTCTAAGATATCTTTGTTATTCACAAAGAACCCCAAGAAGTTTCCAATTGATACCTTATTAAACACACATTCGTTCTTTTAAGGCATGATCTAGTTCCAACAAATGACTTTGGAAGTTATTGGATTTGACAGTTACAGCATCAATACTAATTCACCTATATGGTTTTGCTAATTAGGTCATGAAATATTGTGTTAATGGATATCTCTAATAGGTGGTGACAAAATATTTTCAAAAAGATTATTTCAAAGATTGAGCAAAACTCTCATTTTCTCTATTCACATTTTCATTAGGAATTAAATTGGATGGTGACTGCTAATATTTAACCAACACCACAATGTTAATCGAGACTTCCTGCCTTGGATTGTAAGATTATAGTCACAGAAATGATTTTTTGATTAAATGAGTTTTGCCGGTTCAGAGGTTTCTCTACGGCAGCATTGGTTCGAGACAAGCAAGAGTCTCATCAACAAGTTCAAGTCAAGCCCCGTCTAACATCTCCATCTAGTAATATCCACAAAGTTAAGAATCATGAGGTGAGAGAGAATCTGGTATAGATTCTGAATCAGCTTCAACCCTCCTAAAAACTAGCTTTTGCGTTCGAAGTTGACAGTTGGCAAGTATTGTAACTTCTATGTCATTTTCATCTTGCGATCTGCACATACTCCAACTCTATATAACAGAAAAAGTCTACGGAAACAGACATTCATAGGGGGAAAGAAATCAAATGTAATATTCACAATAGATTTTCTGCGACATAGCACTACTCTTTTTAGAAATGTTGCTCCCAATTCCAATACAGTTATGAAACAGAAACATGAAAAAAGAATGAGAACTGCCTGATATGATCTTCAACTGCATTCTCAGCTTTCAGTATTACAGACTCGAATGGTTCAACTGTATTCCAATTGTTCAAAGGTGAATGCAAATACTAAAATGAACATGTCATCTATATTATATACAGTATTGGCCATCAAAATCAATGAGAAATTCACAATTAGTAAGGAGAACCATAGCTGAATAAACTTACATAGCTGAACCATGAGCAAGTAAGAAACATACAGATAAATCAACAAGTGAAACTATATAAAATAACACAAATAAGAGACTCACTATAAACAACTCATTAAACTTCAATCAAAATTCATATACACAATTCATCAGTCACAAACTACTTCTAATTAAACTGAAGCTATAGCAGTAAGTTTTTAACAAGTGGCAAAACATTAACACCAACAAGCTTCTATTTGATCTTCATCTCCATTAGCATATTCGCCATGCAAATCAGAAATCATCTCATATTCCAAGTGGTCCGCATCTAAACCTTCATCATCTCCATTATCGTCCAGACTTAGCTCAACTGATCTTCTAGCTTGCCTCTTCTCACCCAATTTTGAATTAACCATCACAAAAACAGCATCATTACGACTTTCTTGTCTCAAAAGATTTCTTCTCTTGGGATAGACCTAAACAAATACAAATACAATTAACATAAGCATGTAGTAGGCAATTTACAATTCACATTGGATATTTTTTTTCTTACCATCTTGAAAGCACTTTGATTACTCTCAGGTCCATAAGAACTGCATGTTGAACTTAATACACGAAGCGCGAGACTTTGGAGCTCCGGTAATCCACCTCCAAAATCAGCCCACCAAACTGTCGGAATCTCATAACCCGCTGTCATTATAGCAACAGGATCACCCAAAAGATATGTCCGTCTTTCGAAATCATCTAGTTGAATTTCAATCTTAGTTCTTTCTTCGGGACTGCCCGCCATCCTTGTTATACAATGATGTAGACCATGCGTAATTATATTATCGTCACTAAATCCAATACAATACTGATATTGGGGGTTGAGAAAATAGCCTGCCGCGTGCAAAGGGTTGAGATGTTGGTTGTCCCATCTTTCATCAATGATTTTGCATAAAGGCATAAAACTACAAAAGATAGAGAAAATTAAACTACATTTCACAGCTGAAACCAAAAAAACAAAACGAAAGGTCAATTATAAAACTCCAATATTTACCTTTCAATGGAAAGTTTGCTTCTTATCTCCTCCTTAGCTTGCTCCATTGCCTCGTAAATAAAACCAGTGGCTGGTTCGCCGATTGAATTCACCAAACGAAGCACTTGGATCAAAGGATTTGCACCATTTAAGCAAATCAAAACATTTTTCCAAAACTCATTGTCAAAAACAAGATCCTCAACCAATTTTCCAACCCTTGTTTTTGCAAATTCACTTGATTTCCATCCCTTGGATTGGAACATTTTTCTCAAAACTCCCTTGTTCTCATAAAGACAGTCTAAAGTCAAGTAACACGAAGCACAACGAGTAATACTTGTTTTCACCAAATCTATTCCGTATGTGAAGCTATGCAACAGAGAAACGATAGAATCCCTCGAATAAATAAAGGTTGTAATTATTTTACCCTCTGCAATTGTGTTTCCATATATAGGTATCTTCTTCTTGAAGTCTTCCAGTATCATCTCAATGCAGTGTGTGACACAAGGTGTCCAATACAGCCTAGTCCTCTTCTCCATCAACATCTCACCGGCAGCTTTGTAGAATGGCGTATTGTCCGTCACAATTTGGACAACATTTTCTTCTCCAACCTCTTCAACAATGTCATCCATCATATTAAAGAGTTCGTAAGGCGTCTCCGACTCCAACATATGAGACGCATCAATAGACTTCAAAAAGTATTTTCCCTTTAGACTGTTGGCGAACAAGTTCAATATGGTTCTCTTGTTGTCGGTCCACGCATCAACCATTATAGTGCACCCTCTTGTCTTCCATACAGCTCTGTGTTCTTCCAAGACTTTATCTGTAGACTTACCTACTTTCGTCAGATATTTCTCTCTAATCTCATCGGCAGAAGGTGGCTCATATCCAACGCCGAGTCTTGAAATCATATTATACATATCAACAAGCTCCTTACTCTCTACCAGCTTCAGCGGTATGGCATTGTTGTAGAAAAATCTAGCAATCGCTTCAGAAGCTTCCTCTTTCAAAATATCCTTATTTTTAGCATCTGCTTCACAACTCCTAAGAACCACATCATCGCCTTTTCTTTTTTGACTAACTTTGACAGAAGCAGGTTCCTTCTCTTTATCAGCAGCATTAGCAGAAGCTTCACCCTTCTCTTTATCAGCAGCATTAGCAGAAGCTTCACCCTTCTCTTTATCAGCAGCATTAGCAGAAGCTTCACCCTTCTCTTTATCAGCAGCATTAGCAGAAGCTTCACTGCCACCGTCATGTTGTATTTTGACGAAGCGAGAAAGAAATCGGTGGAGTGCACCGGGCATTATGTCATCACATAAAAAGCAGCCATTAGCATCTTCTCCATCAAGTGAAATTCCATACTCAAAAACCATATTTCTATCTTAGAATTCTCACTGAAAATTTTTTTGAGAGTGAAAAATTAGAGTAAGTAGAAGCAACAACAGAGTTGAAGGGATTTATAAGATTAGGGTTTACGTGTTTGTTGGAGTTAAAGTGAGTGAAATTTAAAAACAATAGGATAAGGAAGATTGAAGATTGATAAGTGTCATTTGAAGTTTGTTTCGATTTTCTTGGAGAGAAAATAGCATGGAAAAGCCGTGAATTTACAATGCTGTTGCTAAATATGTTTTCTTTCCCTCCAATTATTTTTTTATTAATTTTTATTTAACAAATACTTTTAGGATGCTTTTACTAGTAGTATAATTTAGATATGCTTTTATATATTTAAATATTCCAATTTGAACTTTAAAATAGTATCTACCCTTAATTTTAGGGTTAAAAGTCTTATGACTTTAATATGACCTATTTATTTGCTAATGCACTATAAGATTGATTTAAACTAACCGTTGAAGCATGTACGGTGCAGTCTGTTTTAACAACATGAATTAGTTGGTATCGTATGAAAGTTCCTATCACTTTCTTCATGATTTAGTGTTGACAATATCATATTTTTAAGTTTATATTTTATCCAAATATATTACTTATTCTATAAATTTAAAAAAACAAATTTGTTTCTTATATAAATAGAATGGGAGTATTTTTGTGTGATGTAAATTATAGTATAGCAACTCAAATCATTTTAATTATTAGTATAAATTATTTATTAATTAAAATTATTAAAATAGCTTAATATTTATTACTTTAACATAAATATTTAATTTTAATTTAAAAAAATTAAAAAATATATTATAAAATAAATCAATGTTTTTCAAACGCAAAATGATATATAAAAATAAAAAGACAGTACTACAACCAATGTACAAAGAATTCCGAGAAATACAAGAAATAATAATTCTGAAATCAAAACCAAAAAGAAAACATACAATTACCAATTACAATAACACCAACCACCAAGAAGAAAGAACAGACAGAAAAACAACCACAAAAAAACCAGCATCATGCAAAGATAGATCTCTCCAATCTGAGGACACCTGAAAAGAGCAACAAAACCACAAAAAACAAAAAAGGAACGCATCATATGGAGGTCGAAGACGTTCACCCCTCTATTGGCTTAGAAATAGGATATGGTTCTCACGTCAGGCCGACAAACCACATGAGTTATCGGCGGACCTACCAAGATATCATTTTCAAGCCAAGAAGATGCTCATGTCTTCCACGTCTTTTGGTGTCACTGAATGTCCAAAACAAATGTCATTCTGAGTTTTCCAAATCGACCAAACAACAACATGCCAAATCATCCTCATCCTCCCTCTAGTCCTAGCACCCCCGACGAAGGGCTAAACATCTGAAAAAGAGTCAAAACATCTCTAAGGAAAACTGCACACCACCCTAACCACCTAAAAATCATATACCAAACAGAGGAAACAACCTTGCAGGTCACAAAGAGATGGGAGGAAGACTCAGTGTGAAACGATCAGAAGGGACAGGAAAAAGTCCCTGAGGACACAAGGACTTCCCTTTTAAGTAAGTTTTCTCTAGTTGGGATACAATCTTGAAGAAGTTGCAAAGAGAAAAATATAACTTTAGAGGGGGCCCAGTTACACAAGATGGCCGAAAGAACTAACTCAGTTGGAGAGGCCTAATGACTTGGTGGAAACACTCAGGCCAGAAGACAGAAATTGACAGAAGACACATAATAAATCTCATCGCTCGAGTCACGCCACCTCCACTCATCACTCTCACAAAAAAGGGTGAAACCTTTAATCAAAGAATAAATATCTCTAAAAAGATCCAAATCATAAACAAAAAGAGAAAGTCTCCTCCATTTAAGATCCAAGATCCAATTACCCCTTTCCCATCTGTCTACCACCCCAACATATTTTGAGATCTGGTCTGAAATCAGAAAAAGGCGATGGGATCTATGGTAAAGGGTGAAGTCCTCAACCCAGATATCCTCTCAGAAAGAGGCAAGGAGACCAGAACCTACTTTAAATGAGTGACCATCCCAAAACCAGTCAGTAAAACCAGCAACTCTAATTCTCATAAGGGAAACCCCTCTCCATCAAGACATGGCCTATCTAAGGAGGGAGGCTCTCCCACCCATATTAAAGGTCGTAGGGGCTACATCATACCCGATCATAAGGATATAATGCCAAATACCAGAAGCCCTTAAAAGCATGTGCCACCTCCACTTACCTAAGAGGGCTAAGTAGACCAGCTGAAGGTCACGAACACCAAGCCCCCTAACTTCTTAGACTCACACACATCCACCCATTTTACCTAGGAAATCTTAGATTATCCTTTCATTCCACCCAAAGAAACTTCCTCTGAATATTCACTATCTTCTTCCAAACCTTGGCATGCATCTTTATAAAATATAAGAAAAAGACGGGAATGGAATTAAAAACAAAGTTAAGGAGAATGACCCTCCCAATCAGGGAGACATACTTGTGTTTCCACGAAAGGATCCTCCTAGAAACAATGTTAACTATAGGCAAGGATTATCTCTAATCGAGAGCCCAAGATACTTAAAAGTAAAAGACTCCTTCTTACATTGGAGAAACTCACAAGCAAGATCTAAGAATGCCTGATCAAAATTCACCCCAATAGGAGAACTCTTTGCAAACCTCGCTCAAAATCCTAAGGCAAGTTTAAAACCACGGAGAATAACCTTAAGGTAAAACCATCTGGAATAACTAACTCAGTATTTAACCCACTTTTTGCCTTTCCAAATCCATCCCCTCAACTTTTAACCACCCCATTCACTCCATCATTACTCCATTTCATCAACCCATATTTATTCTTACCATTTTCCCAAAAACTTCTCATATTCTTTTACTTTTCCAACTTCCCCTCTCATTCCTATTAAAACCAACTTTACCATCCCCACTTTCACCATTCTCATTCTTGCATACTTCCTTCCGCACCATACTTCATCTCCAAAAACTCTCAAGTTATCAACAATGGCACAAGAGGGAAATGTTGGTTTCGAAGGTGCAATCTTTCGGAATGGAAAAGATGGCGAAAAGCAACAGGAGAAGTTTAAAGCTCTTTTGAATCGGGAAACTATCCTAACAGGGTACGCTAATGATACTATTTTACATAATTTAGGGTTTTTTGATAGTGTGCGTTGGATGCTTGACAAATTAGGCTTGTCACATTTTTATACACGTATGGATGCTACTTATGTTAGAATGACTATAGAATTTCTTAGTTCCCTTACTTCCTCGGTACAACCTAATATTGCTAGCAGTTCCATGACTGTTAAGTTTAGAATGTTTAATAAGGAGTATGATTATAGCACTAACCAACTTTGTGAAATGCTAAACTTCCCTTATGATGAAGGTGTTATCTGTGAAATATCATTAGACACCGATTGGGTGCACAATGTTGGGGATTTTTGGAAATAGTTGACAAGGTTTGCAACTGATAATTTTAAGGGTAATGTAGCATATAAGATACATAATCTGATCATACGCTATTTTCTCCAAATATTGGCAGACACCATTTTTGGACGGGATAATACAAATAATACTAATGTGAAAGAGATGTTTTACTTGTATGCTATTTTTGCACAAACATTGATTTATTCTGCCCCATTCATGATAGGCCATATGCATGGGGTTCACACTGCTAAAAAGGGTTCCATTTCCTTTGGAGAAGTGATTACCTCCATTGAGCATGCTTTGGGGCTCGATATAGAGCTTGCTACCCTTGAGCTCTGACCACCCCCGTTTCCTTGATCTCTGCGCCTGTAGAAACATGAGATTTGTTAAGGCCAAGCCGGATAGAAAATATTTGTTGATGGTCCACAACCTCACCATTGATGGCGTTGTTTTTCCTTGCCTAAACCGCACTGATGTGCGTATTGATGCCAATTGGATCTATGACTTATGTGTCGAGCCTGAGGTCGAATCAAAGCCTATGGACATTCATGATAATATTGCTGCTGATGGTGCTATCGGTGATGAGTATAACCAGAGAGACTGAGGCTCTCTTTCCAATGTCCCACCACCATGTTATTCACCTTGTAGTCCTGATTTACCTATACATACCACACATTGTGCTTCTGACCATTTTGCAGGTACCTCTTTCGGACATCAGTCCCGTGAAGAGTATGACAATGTGGGTATACGGACCGTACTAGATGAAGTCCTTTTCCAACTGCGAGACAGTAATGATATAAATATTGAGCGTGACTAGCTTATCAGAGATATAAGGAGACACCAGGTCGACGTGATGGTTCACATTTGGCATATACAGGAGCAGAAACACAATTATGCAGGACAGACCGAGCATAACATTGCGGATCTAGTCGAACAGATGGCACAATTCCCAGTAAGGATGGATGGTCCACTATAGTATATACATGTTACGGGAGTGCCACCCTGTTAGCTGGGATTTTTAGCTAGTAAAGGAAACCCAACAAACAAGGGCAACCATGTAGGATTCTTGGGTCGACCAAGAATATGAACTTAGAAGAATTTTTTTATTGTCATGAGAAGAATTCAACTAAGAAGTTTCATCGACCATGTAGCTTGTACGACATCAACAAAGTGGTCGACAAGGCACTTAATTGGGCATGCAATACCACATTCAAATATCAATAACTGCCTTAATTTTTTTCTTCTGAATAGACGCGTGGAAGGTTTCCTGAAGATAAGTTACATGTAAAGCTTCACGTGGCGAGATCTTATGGAAGAAATGTTTGGAGTAATATCAAAATGCAGGCCCACATGGAAAAAGATCCACATGGTACTAATATCAAAATTTAGGCCCCTCTAGAAGAATTGGATTTGGGAGAATCATCAGAGAAACGACCAACAAATATCAGCGCCAAGATTGATTCAAGAATGAAACAAAAGTTGGTTGAGCTATTAAAGGAATACAAAGATTGCTTTGCATGTGACTACAACGAGATGTCAGGCCTAAGTCGAAGTATGGTGGAATTAAAATTACATATACGACCCAG